CGGCTGGCCCCATCGTGGTGCCGGGGCCGGAGATGGAACGTAGACGTCGGGAGGCTTGTTGCTGTCAGGTTCCGACAGGTACTCGTTGAACGCCGACGGGTGCAGGAGCGTCAGCAAGGGAGGATTTGATGGGCCGGCAAACACGGGTGGACTAGGAGGAGCATGTGGAGCTGGAGGTGCAGGAGGACATGGAGGAGATGGCGGCGCAGGCGGCGCCGGAGGCTGCGGTGGCTTGGGGGGCGATGGTGGGATACGGCTATACCAGCCGTCAGCATCCACACGGTAGGCGGGCCTAGGCTTCTTCTTGAAAAGGAAGTGGGTGCCAGTGAATTCCGCCATGGCTTTCGCAGCCTGGCGGGCGAAACATGCTAAACTGATTCAAAACCAGCAAGAAATGAGAAGAAATGGACTTCAGACGGGACCCCTGCGGGGAAGTGGCTCGCCGTCCTCGTCAATGATAGACGGGTAACCCCATAGCCTGAACCCGCAGAGGATGAAAATGGGCGGCACACATGCTGCGGTGGCAGGGAATATTCGATCCCCTTCTAGAGGGATCGAAAGAGCTGTCCCTGCCTGGCAACGCATGACAAGGGATTGGGCCGCACATCAGCTTCCGAGTCAGCGTTGGCAGATGCGTTGCTCCGGGACAGGATTTGTGCGGTGGGAAATCGAGTCGCTACGGTACTGTTTTCACCTGCATTTCATGCACGAAACTGACGTGAATGTTTGATGGGCGAATTCGCCTTAATGAGAGCTTCGATTTGGTACCCTTACAAACCATTTTATAAGCGCATGCTCTTATGCCCTTTCCTCTATTACAAGCGCACCCCCTAAAAAAATCGATTTTATTATAAGCGCATATGCGCTACTATCCGGGGTGATATGGTACCTAGGGCCTAAGACCCTTCAATGCTGCGTGTGATTTACAGCTTAGGCTTACCGTAATAATACCGTAAAATCATGCTTTTTTAGTTTCTGGACACATACGTATCAATCAAGACCTCTTATTTGAAGTACGGTAGCACTATACCGGTACTATTTCTTCACGCTTTTTTTTAGGAACACGCACTGACAACAATCAGCCTTTTCTCTCAGAGAGACCCTGATGCATCAGGGTCTCTAAAAGTGAATCTGAGGCCCTGGATGAAAATACAGGAAACCAAAGCTTACAGGTATTACACAAAAAAAAAAAAAAAAAAAAAATGATACCGGTATCAGCCGCCCAGGAACGACACCTACGGTGAGCTCGATCATGTTACGGGGTGCGTGGGAGCAGGCAGCGTGCCGACGGCATCGACGAGGCCGAGCTGCAGAATGCGCGGAGGCGGGCGTGCGGGGCGCGGCAGCAGGCGGCCCTTCTTGGCAAACCAGTGCGGCTTGAGCAGCGCTCGCAGGCCCAGCGCGTTGTAGTGCACTCGTGTTACCCGCCCCCCTGCCGCCTCCACTGCCTTGCGCACCGACTCCGATGCACGGCTCACCTGAAAGGGCAAGAGAGCGAGAAGGGGGGGGGGGGAGGAGGGGCAGGGGTACAGGATAGGATGGAGGAGGAGGGATGGCGCGAGACTGGTGGGCGACGGAGGCATGGTGGCGGCATGAGAACAGGACAGAGGTGTCGAGAGAAAATGGGAGCAGGTGGAAGCAACAACATGAAGCTGCCTTTAGTGAGTTGAAAGGAGCAATGAGCATGGCGGGAGGAGGAGAGAAGAGGCGAGCAGAGGAGAGGAGAGGCGGGGAGAGGAGAGGAGAAGAGAGGGCAGGCGAGGAGAGGGGAGAGGAGAGGAGAGGAGTGGAAAGGGGAGGCGAGGCGAGGAGGGGAGAGGAGAGGAGAGGAGAGGAGAGGAGAGCAAAGATGAAGAGAGGAGAGGAGAGGAGAGGAGAGGAGAGGAGAGGAGAGGAGAGGAGAGGAGAGGAGAGGAGAGGAGAGGAGAGGCGAGGAGAGGCGAGGAGAGGAGAGAGGAGAGGAGAGGAGAGGAGAGGAGAGGAGAGGAGAGGAGAGGAGAGGAGAGGAGAGGAGAGGCGAGGAGAGGAGAGGAGAGGCGAGGAGAGGCGAGGAGAGGCGAGGAGAGGAGAGGAGAGGCGAGGAGAGGAGAGGAGAGGAGAGGAGAGGAGAGGAGAGGAGAGGAGAGCAAAGATGAGGAGAGGAGAGGAGAGGAGAGGAGAGGAGAGGAGAGGAGAGGAGAGGAGAGGAGAGGAGAGGAGAGGCGAGGAGAGGCGAGGAGAGGAGAGGAGAGGAGAGGAGAGGAGAGGAGAGGAGAGGAGAGGAGAGGAGAGGAGAGGAGAGGAGAGGAGAGGAGAGGAGAGGCGAGGAGAGGAGAGGAGAGGCGAGGAGAGGAGAGGAGAGGCGAGGAGAGGAGAGGAGAGGCGAGGAGAGGAGAGGAGAGGCGAGGAGAGGAGAGGAGAGGCGAGGAGAGGAGAGGAGAGGCGAGGAGAGGAGAGGAGAGGAGAGGCGAGGCGAGGAAAGGCGACGCGAGGCTGGGAGCAGACCTCAAGGTGCAGCGGCAGGGAGAGCAGGTGCGCCCCCCGCCCCAGCAGCTTCACCCCATCCCGCATGGCCTTGCCGCCCAGCCCCGCATCCTGGTGGGCAGATTGGGGCGAGGGAGAGGCGAGACATGAGTGAGTGAATGTGGTTATCCACACAGAGTGGTAATGGTTGACTGGTTGAAGAAGGCAGCCGTGGAGCCTCACAGGTGTGCATGACAGCAACTCCTAGCATCCATCTGCTCATGCTCTCACACATCTACCAAAGGCATGCACAAATATACAAAGGGCATATAATCTCAAAACGTGGGTGTGCGTGCGTGCGTGCGTGTGTGTGTGTGCGTGTGTGTGTGTGCGTGCGTGTGTGTGTGTATGTGTGTGTGTGTGTGTGTGTGTGTGTGTGTGTGTGTGTGTGCACGCACGCACATGTGCATGTGCATCCACGCATCGAGCAGCAAATCATCATCACCGCGCACCTTGAGCGTCTTCATGCTGATCACCCCTCACCTTGAGCGTCTTCATGCTGATCACCCCTCACCTTGAGCGTCTTCATGCTGATCACATGCGACGCGTCGATCGCTCCCTCCTCCACCTTCCTCACCACGTCCCGCACGTTCACCACCTGTGTGCACCACACCACACCGCACCGCACCGCATGCCGTGGATGGGGGTTGGGGAGGGGATGGTGGAAGCGAGGGAGGGTGGGGGATGATGAGACGGCACAGGAGGTTGCGGCAAGGGGGGCAAGGATAGGCCAGGGGGGTGGGGCGGGGGGGCGCAAGACGGTGGTGTCACCGCAAGGGGGAGAACGAGGGCGGAGGGGGGCACCTGGGATCGGAGGGCCTTACCTGGAAGCGGAGGGAGAAGGGGTTGTGGAAGCCGCGCTTGGGCAGGCGGATGCGCAGCGGCGTCTGCCCGCCCTCGAACCCGATCTTGGGGTTGCGCCCCGACCGCGCCTTCTGCCCCTTGTGCCCGCGCCCCGCCGTCTTCCCCTTCCCCGACCCCATCCCCCGCCCCACGCGCTTCCCCGTCCGCCGCGCGCCCTCCCTGTCCGCCAGCGCGTTCAGCGTCAGCAGCCCCCCGCTTCCCCCGCTGCTCGCCGCTTGCGCCGATGCTAAGGAGGCCGCTGTGCGGAAGGCGCGGGATGGCGCGGCGGCGAGCAGCGAAGCGTGGAATGGCGCGGAGTTCGGGAGAGGTGAGCGGAGAGTTTGCGAGGGGAAGGCGAGGGAGCGGGGCAGGAAGGCGAGGAGAGGCGGAGAATGCGGTGGAGGGGAACAGGCGGGGGAGCGAAGGCGGATGGCGGAAGGATCGGCGGAGGGCGTCGATGCGGCGGACAGCAAGGCGGGTCGCGGTTCGACCAGCGACAGCTCATCGGCGAGCGCGCGCGAGGTGGGCGGAAGGAAGGGGGTGGGGGGAAGAACGTTGCGGTGGTGCGAGGCGCGGCGGGCGAGAGCGCGGAGGAGAGAGCGATGCATGGCGGCGCGCGTGGTGGGACCGTCGGTGGCGCGGAGACGAGAAAGCGACGAGCGATGAACGATGGGCGGCACGAAGCAAGCAAACGAGAGATGCGCCGACACGTTGCGTTGAGGTCTGGACACGTGGAGCAGACTACGAAAACGCGCAGCGTCACATGCGAGCGTGCGGAGGGCGCGACAATGTGCGACTGCTGGGCGACGAGGAGCGATCACAGAAGTCGCGAGTCATGTCGCATGGCTGTGCGATGTGCTTTGCGACAGCACCAGGTTGTGGGGGGGGAGGTGCGGAAATGGAGGGGTGCACAAGAGGTGTGGTGGAGGGGGGCGATAAATTTGCACCTTGACGAACTCATATTGGTAACTTGCACAGTTGTTGCACCTAGTCAGTTCGCCATATATAAACCCGACAAAAGCCCTTGCTCGACCACCACCACCACAGTCGCACCCATTGCGCCTATTTTATTCAGACGGTTTGCTTGTACCACGGCTCAAGCGCAAAGTGCGCTGTACGTAGTCGCACGCGCACCCACCACGTGCCGTGCATCCGCGCCGCGGCTTCTCGTTTCCACTCGCAGCTGGCCACGCGGATCGCGGTGCCCCTTCGCCCTCTCCGTCTCACCCCCTCTCAGCCTAGCCGTCGCCGCCGGCTCGTCGCGCGCTCGCTGCTGGACGTGGCCACCTCGTCATGGGTGACGTGGCGACTCAGGTGGAGGAATTCGCGACGCGACTGAAGCGAAGGTGAGGGAAAGGGAAATGGAAGGACGCGGACGCGGAGTCGTGTGAGTGGCCCCGGCGTGTTAGTAGTCGCGGCATGCTGGTCACGAGGCGAAGGCGCGCGGGCGATGGTAGCAGCGTGCACGAGGTGCGTCGCTCGCCGCCGCTGCTGCCATGCCCACGGCCGCGCCGCAGCCGCATCCACATCCATGGCCCCCATGCTCGCCGCCTCCCCCCTTCCTCGCCTCGCCTCGCCTCGCCTCGCCTCGCCTCGCCTTCCATCTGCCCCTTGCACCGTTGCTACCTGCGCCTGCATCACTCCCAAGTTCTCCCATGTGGCTCTTGGCCGTTGTGCATGTTGTGGGTGAACCCATTGCGTGTGTGCGCGTGGCGTGGCAGGCAGGAGGAGGGGCGGCACAAGACAGCGCGGCGGACGGCGGAGCTGCTGCGCCTGGTGGTGTCGCAGCAGCGCATGCCCGCCGCGCACCCCACCGCCGCCCTACTCGACGCCGTGCGCTCCGTCGGCTCGCGCCTCGCCGCCGCCAACCCCTCTGGTGAGCCGTGCTGGCCATGAGGTGAGCCCTGGTAGGCGTGAGGTGAAGGATCCTGGCAGCAGCACAGTGCGGTTGTGGGATGCAGGTGCAGGACGCATGGTGCAGGACGCATGGTGCAGGACGCATGGTGCAGGACGCATGGTGCAGGACGCATGGTGCAGGACGCATGGTGCAGGACGCATGGTGCAGGACGCATGGTGCAGGACGCATGGTGCAGGACGCATGGTGCAGTGAACCTCACCTCGCAACACAGCCCCCCTCCTTGCACCCTCGCGCACTGCCATTGCTGCTCTCTCCCCACTGCACCGCACCCCATTCCCTCACTTGCTGCCAGCCTGGAGGAGCACGCGCTGCATGCTATATTATGGGCCCTCACTCTCCCAACCACCACAACCACCCTCCCCCCTCCCCACCCCACACACCCTCGTGTACTTGAACCCGCCATGGCGCGGGCAGCGGTGGTGGTGGGCAACGTGGTGCGGCGCGTGATGCACGCCATCCGCGAGGAGGACGCCTCGCTGCACCTCGCGCACGCACACGCGCACGCGCACGCGCAGGGGCAAGGACACTCACACGCGGGCCACGCTGCACCAGATGTGGCCGTGCGGGGGGGAGGGGGCGCGGTGGGGGGCGAGCGGTGGGGCGAGGAGGGCGAGGGCGAGGGGCGGGGGGGAGGGGGGGCGCTGTCAGCGGCGTCGGTGGCGGGGAGCAACCGCAGTGTGCTGCTGGCGCCGTCGCTGCACAACCTGCTCGACCCCGCGCTGCTCCCCGCCACTCCCCCCTCCTCCTCCGCGCCCCTCCCCCCTTCCGCCCGCTCCTCTGATGGCGCCTCTGCCCCCTCGCCCGCTGCCGCTGCCACTGCTGCTGCTGCCGGTGCGTTGGGGAGCAGCGGAGACAGGGAGAGAAGGGTGAGGAGAGAGGAGCGAGATGGGAACGGGTGGAAGGGAGGAGAGGCAGGATGGATGGAGTGCAGATGAGTGAGCAGGCAGGAGTGGTGTCTGGTTGTGAGCTGTGCTGACAAGGACTGTGAGGTCCCATGGGTGTGAGAGAGGGTAGCTTGCGGTGCGCTGGGGGTGAGGGAGCTGTCGCTGGGCTGGCTGCCGTGGAGTGTGCCGCTAGGGCCAGCCATCAAGTCAACGCTTCTACGTGCCGTGCTACCGTGTGCTTGCTCACGCCCCACTCACTGCATGCTTGCCTGCATGTGTGCATGGGACATGCATGGGTGCATGCGTGCATACATGCATGGCAGAGCGGAAGCTAAAGCACGTGGTGATAGAGCGAATCAACGACCTGCTGGAGGAGATTGACAACCACCAGTCGCAGCTCGCCGACCAGGCGCTCGAACACATCCACCAGAAGTAAATCCCTCCCCTCCCCTCCCCTCCCTCCCCTCACCTCCCCTCCTCCCCTCCCCCACCTACTTCCCTCCCGTACCTACCTCCTTTCCCCACCTCTGCCGTCCCACCGTCCCCCATATCTCAAGCCTCTGCCTGCACTTCAATCCGCACTTGTCCATTCGTGCGTCTCCTTGTGTGTCTGCCCCTGAATTCGCCCACCTATCGCTGCCCGCAATGCTCCTGTTTCTCCCTCTCCGTTCCCACCTATTTCACCTCTCTCTCTTTGTCGGTTGTCCTGCCCCAATTCCTGCCACGTTTTCCCTCTCCGCCCCTCCGGTACCTTCTCGTTACGCCGGCTCTCTCTCGCGCCTCTCCCCACCTTGGCACGGCACGGCGTGGCACGGCACGGGGGCAGTGAGGTGATACTAACGATGGGTTTCAGCGACACGCTGCTGCTCTTCCTGCTCGAAGCCAGGAAGCGACGCTCCTTCCATGTGAGCCTGCCTTCCATGTGAGCCTGCCTTCCATGTGAGCCTGCCTTCCATGTGAGCCTGCCTTCCATGTGAGCCTGCCTTCCATGTGAGCCTGCCTTCCATGTGAGCCTGCCTTCCACGTGAGTGCCATACCCCGTTCAAGCAAGCCATTCACTAGCAGCAATGTGGGCATGTCGCTGCCACGTGAAGACATGGCTCCTCACTGGGGCTCCGTTGATGCATGGCTTATTCAGCACAGCAGTGGGGCGAATATAATACAAGCACCCATGTGCCGCAACGTGCTGCAGCAGGCATGGGGCAGCGCGGGCCGTGCCCCCGCGGGGCGGCCTTAGAAGCGTGTCATGGCGACGGCGATGCGTTGTCCACGCCGCCCTGCCGCCACCACCTCTCCACCACGTGCTGTGCTGCTGCCCCCTGGCACGGACCTCCCTGCTTTGCGCCGTCCCCCCTTCGCCTCCACCCCGCCTCCCCTCCTCCTCGCCCTCCCCTACGCACGCGGTGGTGCGTGGGAAACCTCAACCGCTTGCCACACCGCGCCTTGCCCTCTGCACGTGCTGGTGCTGGCTGGAAGCCACGGCCGCCGCCTGCCACAGCATCCCCATCGCCCTCACCCCGCCTCCCCTCCCCGTCACCCCTCCTTCCGCCTCTTCCCTGCCCACCCTGCCTCCCCTCCTCCCTATGTGCCCGCTTGCCAGGTGGTGGTGGCGGAGGGCGCCCCCTGCTACGGCGGCCACAAGCTGGCGGCGGCGCTGGCAGCGCGCGGGGTGGCGGTGACGGTGATAGCGGACGCGGGGGTGTTCGCCCTCATGGCGCGCGTCAACCTCGTGCTGCTCGCCGCCCACGCCGTCATGGCCAATGGGGGGGTGCTCGCTCCCATTGGTGAGTGGGAGCGCCCATCGGTGAGCGGATGAATAATGATGGCAGAGGGGGCTGTGATGGCAGAGGGGGCTGTGATGGCAGAGGGGGCTGTGATGGCAGAGGGGGCTGTGATGGCAGAGGGGGCTGTGATGGCAGAGGGGGCTGTGAGGGAGAAGTGTGGAAAAGAGGGAAGAGGTGGTGCAACACTTACCGCTGTGAGAAAGCCAATAGCCTGACCTGCTGTCACATCTATCTCTGCGTTGTCCCTACCACCTCCCTCTCTTCCCTTGAGCACCTCCCCTCTCCGTGCCTCACTGTCCCCTACTCGTCTCATCCCCCTGCTCGTCCCGCCCTCCCCCCCTGCAGGGCTGGACATGGTGGCACTGGCTGCGCGCCGCCACGCCGTGCCCTTCGTGGTGCTCGCCGGCATCTTCACTGTCAGTGCCGCCCCCCCCTCCACCTCCCCGCCACCCCCCCGCCGCCCCCCCTCCACTCTACCTCACCTGCCCTCCACCTGCCCACATGCTTGACTGCACTCACGTGCTGCGGTTATGATGTCACGCCATAACGCACATAATCTACCATCTACCGTATTGCACCTGCACCAGAGCTCGTCTGGATCCTCACGCTCCTGCCCTTGCGTGCGCCGCGCCCCCCACCTGCCGTGGCCCCACCAGGTGTGTCCGCTGTACCCACAGCAGGCGGGGCTGGCGGGGCTCAACGACCTGCGCTCGCCGGCGGGCGTGGTGGGGCTGGCGGAGCTCGCGCACTGGGAGGGCCTCGCGCACCTGGGGGCTGCCCTCACTGCCCAGGGGCGGGGCAGTGGCAAAGCGGGCGCACAGGGGGGTGAGGAGGCGGAGGGGCAGAGGGGGGAGGCGGGGGGGGAGGCGGGGGTGGAGGTGGAGGTGGAGGTAGTGAACCCGGCCTTTGACTACATCCCCCCGGAGCTTGTTACTCTGCTCGTCACCGACACGTCAGTCGCCCCCCTGCATGCCGTCTCGCTTCCCTGCATGCCGTCTCGCTTCCCTGCATGCCGTCTCGCTTCCCTGCATGCCGTCTCACTCCCCTGCATGCCATCTCGCTTCCCTGCATGCCGTCTCACTCCCCTGCATGCCATCTCGCTTCCCTGCATGCCGTCTCACTCCCCTGCATGCCATCTCGCTTCCCTGCATGCCGTCTCACTCCCCTGCATGCCATCTCGCTTCCCTGCATGCCGTCTCACTCCCCTGCATGCCATCTCGCTTCCCTGCATGCCGTCTCACTCCCCTGCATGCCATCTCACTTCCCTGCATGCCGTCACACTCCCCTGCATGCCATCTCACTTCCCTGCATGCCGTCTCACTCCCCTGCATGCCATCTCGCTTCCCTGCATGCCGTCTCACTCCCCTGCATGCCATCTCGCTTCCCTGCATGCCGTCTCACTCCCCTGCATGCCATCTCGCTTCCCTGCATGCCGTCTCACTCCCCTGCATGCCATCTCACTTCCCTGCATGCCGTCTCACTCCCCTGCATGCCATCTCGCTCCCCTGCATGCCGTCTCACTCCCCTGCATGCCATCTCGCTTCCCTGCATGCCGTCTCACTCCCCTGCATGCCATCTCGCTTCCCTGCATGCCGTCTCACTCCCCTGCATGCCATCTCGCTTCCCTGCATGCCGTCTCACTCCCCTGCATGCCATCTCACTTCCCTGCATGCCGTCTCACTCCCCTGCATGCCATCTTGCTTCCCTGCATGCCGTCTCACTCCCCTGCATGCCATCTCGCTTCCCTGCATGCCGTCTCACTCCCCTGCATGCCATCTCGCTTCCCTGCATGCCGTCTCACTCCCCTGCATGCCGTCTCACTCCCCTGCATGCCGTCTCACTCCCCTGCATGCCGTCTCACTCCCCTGCATGCCGTCTCACTCCCCTGCATGGTACCTCACCTTCTGCCGCACGCTCTGTTCTCCCACATGTGCGCATGGCAGGGGCGGGCACAACCCGTCGTACATCTACCGCCTGGTGGCGGAGTACTACAGCCCGCACGACCACAACCTCTAGCCATCGCCTCACATCATTAGAGGAACGCCATGTCAGCGCCTACTACCGCTAAGCTCAGCAGCACCCTTGGCCCCAGGGAGGTTTCTAGGATGTCGGGTATACGTTTACAGTGCCCACCCGGATACACCATATGCCCCTGGTTACTTGCCGGGTTTGACAACCACATTTCCCCCTGGATGAAACACCCTAGGGTCCTGTGGTAATTTCATAAGAAAAAAATTGGTGGGTCGCAAGGGAAATATACCTTAAGACCACTTATCCAAACCCCAGGAGTTTTCTATTCTGGAGGGCCTTTTACCCGGCAGTTCCGTCCACACATCCTTCACCTTCGTCAAGCCCCCCGTTATTCCCTCGTTAAGGTTTGCAACTTGTCATGCAAATTGGTTACATGCACTTCTGGAAAGTGCTTACAAAAAAGAAAAACTACATTTTTGTGCAAGCCTGCGCTTACAACTTGTTGTCAGTGGTTCAAAAGCTACTAAACATTAAACCTAAAGAGCATAACGTCCCCCTCTTGCACGACATACTCTTTGCCCTCAGCTCGCAGCTGCACACGAGCACAGACAGACGTGCGCTCAGCAACAGTGGGAGAAGAGAAAGCACGCATGGTAGCAGAGCAGCATTCATGGTAGCAGAGAAGCATTCATGGTAGCAGAGAAGCATTCATGGTAGCAGAGAAGCATTCATGGTAGCAGAGAAGCATTCATGGTAGCAGAGAAGCATTCATGGTAGCAGAGAAGCATTCATGGTAGCAGAGAAGCATTCATGGTAGCAGAGAAGCATTCATGGTAGCAGAGAAGCATTCATGGTAGCAGAGAAGCATTCATGGTAGCAGAGAAGCATTCATGGTAGCAGAGAAGCATTCATGGTAGCAGAGAAGCATTCATGGTAGCAGAGAAGCATTCATGGTAGCAGAGAAGCATTCATGGTAGCAGAGAAGCATTCATGGTAGCAGAGAAGCATTCATGGTAGCAGAGAAGCATTCATGGTAGCAGAGAAGCATTCATGGTAGCAGAGAAGCATTCATGGTAGCAGAGAAGCATTCATGGTAGCAGAGAAGCATTCATGGTAGCAGAGAAGCATTCATGGTAGCAGAGAAGCATTCATGGTAGCAGAGAAGCATTCATGGTAGCAGAGAAGCATTCATGGTAGCAGAGAAGCATTCATGGTAGCAGAGAAGCATTCATGGTAGCAGAGAAGCATTCATGGTAGCAGAGAAGCATTCATGGTAGCAGAGAAGCATTCATGGTAGCAGAGAAGCATTCATGGTAGCAGAGAAGCATTCATGGTAGCAGAGAAGCATTCATGGTAGCAGAGAAGCATTCATGGTAGCAGAGAAGCATTCATGGTAGCAGAGAAGCATTCATGGTAGCAGAGAAGCATTCATGGTAGCAGAGAAGCATTCATGGTAGCAGAGAAGCATTCATGGTAGCAGAGAAGCATTCATGGTAGCAGAGAAGCATTCATGGTAGCAGAGAAGCATGCGCATGCAGGTGGAGGGAATGTGAGTTGAGTGCAGGTGACTCACGAGGCCTTTCTCCTTGGCAGCCGTGTATGATCCACTCGCCACAAAGTCATTGTATGATATCTGCATGCGTACATGCACATGCACATGCATGCCCACATGCACGCCCACATGCACGCGCAAATGCATGCCCACATGCATGCCCACATGCACGCGCACATGCATGCCCACATGCACGCGCACATGCATGCCCACATGCACGTGCACATGCATGCCCACATGCATGCCCACATGCACGCGCACATGCATGCCCACATGCACGCAGAAGAAGGTTAGCCTCCTCGAGGTACCAAGGCTGGGACAGCTCGCCAATGCTGTGGTGGGCGAGATAAGGAGTGAGATGCGATCCAGCCACATGCAATACATTTGTGGGCACAGCACGTGCTGCTAGGAATCACTAGTGGTGGTTGCCTGGGGAGACAGAGCGAGGTACAAGGAGAAGCAAGGAGGTGAGGGGCGAGGGAGCAAGGCGGCGAGGGAGTGAGGCAGAGAGGGAGAGAGAGAGAGAGGGAGAGAGGGAGAGAGGGAGAGAGGGAGAGGGGGGGGAGGGAGAGAGGGAGAGCGGGGGAGAGGGAGAGAGGGAGAGAGGCAGAGAGGGAGAGAGGGAGAGAGGGAGAGAGGGAGAGAGGGGGAGAGGGAGGGAGGGAGAGAGGGAGAGAGGGAGGGGAGGGGCGGTACGGTCTCGGCGCGGATGAAGCCGCGCTCGAAGTCGGTGTGGATGACACCCGCTGCCTGCGGTGCCGTCATGCCCGCTCGGATCGTCCATGCCCTCGTCTCCTGCATGCACGCATACAGGGCAGGTGTGTGAGGCGTTGAGTATGGGGCAGGGCAGGCACGTGGCAGGGCAGGCACGGGGCAGGGCAGGCACGGGGCAGGGCAGGCACGGGGCAGGGCAGGCACGGGGCAGGGCAGGCACGGGGCAGGGCAGGCACGTGGCAGGGCAGGCACGGGGCAGGGCAGGCACGGGGCAGGGCAGGCACGGGGCAGGGCAGGCACGGGGCAGGGCAGGCACGGGGCAGGGCAGGCACGGGGCAGGGCAGGCACGGGGCAGGGCAGGCACGGGGCAGGGCAGGCACGGGGCAGGGCAGGCACGGGGCAGGGCAGGCACGTGGCAGGGCAGGCACGGGGCATGGAAAGCCTCAACAGTCAACGCGATGGCCCCCTACCGCCCCTCGCATCTCCGTGTCCCTTGCCCGTCGCACTGCAACCCTCCCCCCCTCGTCTGCCAGCCGCTCACCTTCTCCCCCGCAGTGAAGTAGGTGCGCAGCCCCAGCAGGCGGTAGGTGGCCTGCACGAGCCCCGCCAGCCCGCCCTGCTCCACGCCCAGTGCCGCCAGGTACTCCGCGCGGTCCGCCTCGCCCAGCTCACACAGCTCCGCCTCCACCTGCCATGCCATGCCATGGCCCCGTGCCCCCGTGGCCAAGGTCACGGTGGGTGCAGTGAGGGTGGGTACGGTGAGGGTGAGTACAGGGAGGGTGGGCGGAGTAATAGGCGAATGGGGCAGTGAGAAGAACCAACGGAGCAACGGACCTGCGCGGAGACCACCACGCACTCGGCGCCTTCACTGGACGCCAGCTGGCGCACAGCTGTCACGTGCGGGTTGGAGGAGGGGTCTGCAAGGTCGGTCTCAGCGACGTTGGCGGCGTAGATGATGGGCTTGGCCGTGAGCAGGCACAGCTGCGCCACCAGCGCCGCCTCCTCCTCGCTCAGCGCCACGCTGCGCGCCGCCCCCCCCGCCAGCACCGCCTCCCTTATGCGCTCCAACGCCCCCGCCTCCGCCTCCTCCTGGGGGGTGGGGGGGGGAAGGGAAGGGGGTAGGGGAGCGATGGGGGTATGGAAAGTGGTGTGGGGGGCGAAGGAGAGCATTGAGTATGGGAAGGACGACAGGGGTGGGCAAGCGGGAGTGAAAAGCCAATACAACAGAGCAAGCAGGGGGCAGAGGGAGGAGGGAAGAGCGAGGAGGGCAGGAAAAAAGGTGGGCGGCAGCGGGCGGAGGGCGAGGGGCGGAGGGCGGCGGGCGGAGGGGCATGGTCTGACCCGGGAGCGAGCCTGGGGGTCCTTGGAGCGACTCTTGCTCAGCCGCTCCATGCGCTTCTCTATCTGCCACGCCATGGTGGGTGGGGTGGGGGTGCATGCAGCATGGCATGGCATCATGGCGCCGTGGCATAGAAACAGAATGAATGCGCTTAGTGTTGAATAAGTTAATGTAATGAATCAGCACAAGAAGCACTTGTGGAGCAGGAGCTGTGATGATGCTGCAGAAGCAGCAGCATGGGCAGCAGGAGCAGGAGCAAATGATGCGTGTACCTGGGAGAGATCAGCAAGGGCGAGTTCGAGGTTGATGACGTCGATGTCGGCGGTGGGGTTGACGGCACCACTGACATGCACGATGTCCGTGTCCTCAAAGCACCGCACCACCTGTGGCCCACCATGCACCCACGCACACACGGTGAGTGACGCAAAGAGGCCGTGGCAGATGAGGACAGGCTGTAAGCAAAGCATGCACCATCCATTTCCCAATCACGGCCGCGCCACATGTCATACCATGCCATGCCACATGCTCATGCTCACGCCACGCTGCTCATGCCACCCCTCGTGGCACATCACATGAGCGCACCTCACCTGCACGACGGAGTCCACCTCGCGGATGTGCGACAGGAACTTGTTGCCCAGGCCCTGCACGCACGCATGGCAGGCAGGCACCCACGCATGGCAGGCAGGCACCCACGCATGGCAGGCAGGCACCCACGCATGGCAAATAGGCAGCCAGGCAGGCGGGCAGCAGACACGCAGGCATGGCAGGCAGGCAGGCAGGCGGGCGGGCAGGCAGGCAGGCAGGCGGGCGGGCGGGCAGGCAGGCAGGCGGGCAGGCAGGCAGGCAGGCAGGCGGGCGGGCGGGCGGGCGGGCGGGCGGGCGGGCGGGCGGGCGGGCGGGCGGGCGGGCGGGCAGGCAGGCAGGCAGGCAGGCGGGCAGGCAGACAGGCAGGGAGGCAGGCAGGCAGGCAGGCGGGCAGGCGGGCGGGCAGAGCAAGAGGGACGGTAGTGAGCATGGGATGTGACTGGCAGCAAGCATTGCACATACGGTGGAATCGTGCACCCCCTCTGCTACACCAACCATGCGACAGAGTCCCCTGCCCACTCCGCCCCGCTTGCCCCATCGCCCTCCCCTTCCCCCCCATGGCACATCGCCCTGCCTGCTCCCTCTTTCACGGCACCTAGCCCTCCCTTTCCCCCCCCCCCCACGGCACCTCGGCTCCCCTGCCCGCCTCGCAGCACCTCGCCCTGCGCCCTCATCCCCCCCCCCCCCCCCCACCTCGCCCTGGCTGGCGCCCTTGACGAGTCCCGCGATGTCAACGAACTCCACGGTGGCGGGCAGTGTGCGCTTTGATGAGGTGAGCTCAGAGAGCACGCCCAGGCGCGGGTCGGGCACGGCCACCACGCCCACGTTGGGCTCGATGGTGCAGAATGGGAAGTTGGCTGCCACTGCCTTGCCGTTCTCCACCTGCCCGCGTTGATGGGGGGGCGCGTGGACGAGAGGACGCGGGAGATGAAGGCGTGGGCGCAGAGGCCAGGGGGGGCATGGACGGAGTGCATTGTGCATGCTGGGAGGGAAAGTAGGGGGAGTGCAGGCAGTGGGGTTGTTGAAAGGAAGGCAGCGATTTGAGGAGCTTTCAGAAGCAGGCAGTGCGAGGTGGAGGAAACGAGTGGCTCGTGTGTGGCATGGCATGGGCGCAGGTGGAGTTGAGGAGGGGCGTTGAAGAGTGTGGACTCACGAGGGCGTTGAAGAGCGTGGACTCACGAGGGCGTTGAAGAGCGTGGATTTGCCCACGTTGGGCAGCCCCACGATGCCGCTGCGCAGCGCCATGCTCACCCGCGCGCCCCCCCGCCCCACCCCCGCCGCCTCCGAGAACGCCCGCGCTGCTGTCTGCTGGCGGGGGGGGTGTGACACGGTGGTAAGGGGGAGGAGGGGGGGCAGGGGGGAGGGGATTTGTTGCAGGGGGTGGCAATGGAGAGCGTGCAGAGGAGGTGGCGGGAAGACGGTGGAGAGGGGGAACACACGTGCCAAGCGACGAGTGGGGGCGACGAGTGTGGTGGGGAACACACGTGCCAACCGACGAGTGGGGGCGGCGAGTGGGCGGCCTAGCACGTGGCAAGCGACGAGCACAGGCGACCCACCAGCGACGACCCACCAGCGACGACTCACCAGCGACGACTCACCAGCGACGACCCATCAGCGACGACCCACCAGCGACGACCCACCAGCGGCGCGAGGAGTCGCGGCGAAGCGGCGAGGCCGTGCAGACGCGCCTTGAGGCCCGCCCCCACCCGCGCCGTGGCGCACGCCGCCACTGCCGTCGCCATGCCCGCTGCTGCCGTGCTGCGCGGTGCCGCGGCGATTCTCCTCGTGCTGAGAGGGCGAGACAGCGAGAAAGCGAGTGGGTGCGAGGGTAAGGGGCGAGAGGGAGGTTTAGTGACGAGTGGGGCTGGTGGAGGGAGGGGGAGGGCAGGCGCGCACACGCAGGGAAGATAGAATGATGGTTGAGACCGATGGGGGAGAGCGATGGGGGGGAGCGGCGAGGGGAGAAGAGGTGAGGGCGGGGATGTGAAGTGGCGGGGCACGACGGAGGCAGCAGCGCGGTGAGGCACGACGGCTGAGGCGCGGCGAGGGGAAGGGAATCCGGAGGACGGGGGAGAAGAGGACGCGCAGGAGGGGGAAGGCCCACGCGAGGCGCGCGGACGCGATGGCCGCGACGGCAGCGGGAGAGGAACACGCCATTGCGCTTACTCTGCCCGGGGGTACGCGAGGAGAGTAGCGAGGAGGAACGGAACGCGGAGGAGGCGGAAGACAGCAGGGCGGAGAGTCGCCAGGGGAGCGCGACGGTGGCGAGGGAACGGCGCGATGGGCGTTTCCTTGATGCCACGCTATTCCGCTGGGGACTGCCAGCGCTGGGGTTTTGGGTGTTCAAAAATTGCAAGTTGAGGTTATGCGCAATGTCTCTGTTCTCAACTAATAAATCGAGCGGAAGTCAATAATGAGAAAGTGGTTACAACTACTACGTAATACTAAAAGGAACTTTCCCGAATTCCTTATCGGGGTTGACTGCTTCGCGTACAGCCCGATTTTCGGACTTCGCACGTTCGGCCGATTTCAACGCTGCCGAGGCTCCTCGCGTCGCCTTCGGCATTTTCCCAATCGCCAAACCTGCACCCAACCTCGCTCGTCCAAAATTCCCTCCTAGCTAGGCTAGTTTCTACATTAGTCTGTGCCTTCATTGTATTCTCAGTTCATTCGATCACAGTCTCGTTATTTGTTTACCCGCGCACTCTCTTTTACAACTCATAATACCTGGTATCATAGCTACTTTCCTAGTTCACCCCGCTTTTCTGAGGGTAGTTTGGTGGCATGGGTGTGACTAGTTTAGTGACTACACGACGGTTGGCCGCAGGGATTGTTAATTCAATCCTGCCCGACTCCGATAGTTCGTGTTTTCACTTGCCTGAAGGCCACGGAGACCTGATTGCCCACCAGACGTAGCGCTAAGCACATGGATCAGGAGGCGGTTAACAGGTTGATGGCGCAAGTGGCAGAGATGCAGGAGGGCATGACGTCATTAATGGCGGAAGTGACAACACTGCGTGAAGAAAACGCCGAGCTACGCCAGACGCGAGGTGAAGCGCGTCAGGTGTCGCCCGATGAAGAAGGCGAGGGCAACAGTCAAGCGGTTAGCAATCCACACGTGACACACGTGCTCACACCACGCGCTCACACGTGACTTCGAAGAGGAAGACAGGCAGCGAGCGGCAGCAGCACCAGTTGCAGTAACGACGATCAAGATAAAACCCGTCAACCCGCCCCCGTTCAATCCTACGGACAGGACGGTTACAGTAAAGGGGTAGTTGTTCGGGGTCGAAGTCTTCTTCATTGCAGTAGGAGTTAATGACGACGCCACGCGCATTAATTACGCGGTTTCGCTTCTTCAAGGTGCAGCGCTTGAATGGTGGCGCCGAACCTTGGAAACGGAGACGCCGACAAGTGTGACGCATGCGGCAGACGGGACCTCAACAATGACTAATCAAGTGGCAGAATCAATCTTCGGAGTGACCACGATACGCACGTGGAAAGAGTGGGGCGCAGCCTTACGAGATCGCTTCGAGCACGTATCCGCCTCGGGGCAAGCTCGCATGAAGCTGCATGCATGGTCGCAGATGGCTTCTATCGAAGACTACACGGCGTCATTTATGGGCCTCGCCGACCAATTTGATGACATGTCGGAAGTAGAGCGGTTGGATAAGTATATCAGCGGCCTCAAATACGAAATTCAATACGAGGTCCGCAGGGGCCGCCCGACATCATTTCTTGAAGCAGTACGGCTGGCGGAGTCAACAGATGCGTTGATGCAGTACGCGAGAGCAACTTCCAGAGATTGAAACCGCTTTCGTGGCCAGACCTATCGGGCCACGATCAACGCCGTCCATACACCCGATCGCCCTCCTAAGGGACCGTGTTACCGGTGTGGAAAGACGGGTCACTACATGAAAGACTGCCACGAGAAAACGCCGCTGACCGGGAACGACAGGAAGGAGCAGGGAAATGGGAAGAGTCAGTAAGTAGCGGGCCCTTTACTGACTGTGCTCCGTCGCCCGAACCCCACCATCCTGACCGAGTCGTGGTTTCGATTCATGCAATTGATCGCAGTCGGCCGAATAACAGGGATACTCATGTGGATCACCCTGTGCTGGTCGCTGGCAAGGTGTTAAAAAATAACTTGAAAATGTTCGTCGACGGAGGGGCCAGCCATAGCCTATTCAACTTGGCGACAGCAAAAAAATGCAAGCTGCAACTTGACAGGTGTCTGCCCGAAATCGACGCTCGCCTCGTGGATGGGACGCCTTTGGCGATATTGGAAGAAACACGGACGGCCAGGATCGAATACGGCGACGATTTCGGCTTCAGCATGAAGTTCCTCGCGACGAAACTGGACGGCTGCGACGTGCTGCTGGGACGTGATTGGCTGCGACGGCACAACCCCGTCATCGACTGGACAACGGGATCGTGCAGCATCAATAGGCACGAGGGGCTAATTGAACTGCCTGCATGGACACCTGACTACATCCAAGCCCTGTGCGTTAAAGCTATCACTATAGCTCGCCACTTCAACAGAGGCGCGCAACTGTTCGCTGCTTGCTTACGCGAATTGGCAGTTGACACCGACGGAAAGGACATCGAGAAGCTGTGTGCAGCTGTACCGCCGGATTTAGCGGAGCTGATTCGGAGGTACCCCGACATTTTCCCCGACGATCTGCCACCTGGACTGCCACCCGAGAGACTTGAGGACCACAAAATCCAGTTGGAACCTGTCGCACAGCCGACTGTTCGGACATAGTGGCGGTTGACCCAGCCGGAACTCGAGGAGCTAGTCAAATTGACGCACTGTTGGAGAAAGGATTCATTCGGGCCTGCACATCTCTTTTCGCAGCACCAATCTTGTTCACTCCGAAAAAAGACGGCGGGCTTCGCATGTGCATCGACTATCGGGCGCTAAACCGAGTCATCATCAAGTCTCGCTACCCAATCCCACGCACCGACGACCTCCTCGACCAACTTCGCGGCGCTCGCTGTTTCTCGAAGATTGACTTATGTGGCGGTTACCACCAGATTCGAGTCTTCGCCGACGATTGTCTAAAGACTGCGTTTCGCACACGCTACGGGAGTTACGAATTCACGGTGATGCCTTTCGGCCTCACGAACGCGCCTTCGACATTTCAGTTGACCATGAACAGGGTTTTTTGGGACCTTGTAGACAGAATGTGTCATCGTCTACTTGGACGATATCCTCATTTTTAGCAAGACACGGGAGCAGCATCTCCGCGACCTTGACGCTGTGTTTAAGAGGTTGCAGGAGATCCGACTCATCACCAAGGGCTCTAAGTGCGAGTTTTTTAAGCAGGAGTTGGAGTTTTTGGGCCACGTCATCTCACGCGACGGCATTAAAATCGACCCGGCGAAAATCAAGACCATACAGGAGTGGAAGTCCCCGACGAATGTCACGAAACTATAAAGTTTTCTGGGGTTCGTGAATTACGTCAGGCGGTTTATCCCGAATATGGCGGGGATAACCGGCCCGTTGACCGACTTGTTGCACAAGGACAAGAATTTTGTGTGGGGGGAGGAGGTAGAGGCGGCTTTCCAGGAGCTGAAGAATTTTCTTGTTTCCCCTCCTGTGCTGCGCATCGCCGACCCATCGAAGCCGTTCGAAGTCCAGTAAGTAATAGTCCGGATTTGGGTTCCGGCTTACAGGCTGCTGCGTGAACTCTTTATCCAGGAAGTCCACGATTCGAACTTCTCCGGACACTTCGGGGTTGATAAAACCCAAAAATTACTGCACCGTCAATATTACTGGCCTGATTCCTCTAACGACGTGCAGCGATATGTTTCCTCATGCAGGGTGTGGCAAGCCACGAAATCAACACGTCAACGGCCAGCTGGGCTGCTGCAACCCCTCGAGCCACCCGAACGACCGTGGCAGCAAGTGACAATGGACTTTGCTCGTCCGGCAACGACGCCGTGCTCGTCGTCGTCGATCGCTTCACGAAGATGGCGCATTTTGCCCCATGCCGAACAACAATCACAGCCGAGGAAACTGCGCGCCTCTTCATCTCAACGGTCGTGCGACTGTACGGAATCCCTTCGGCGATCATCAGCGACCGAGACCCGAAGTTTACATCGAAATTTTGGAAGGAGACATGGGCGCAGTACGGCACGAAACTACAGTTCTCATCGGCATACCACCCACAGACGGACGGCCAGACCGAACAGACCAATCAGACCATGGAGCAGCTGATCAGGACAAACTGCCCCGACCCTGCCCGCTGGGAAGAATCGCTCGCCATGTTGGAGTTCGCATTCAACAACGCCCCGTCCAGCACGACTAATCACTTCCTGTTTTCCTGAATTACGGGATAAATCCGACGGTTCCTACAGCGACTACTCTCGACAACCCGGTCCCGAGGTCACAAACATTTGTGACGGAACTTCAGGAAGTCCGAGAAAAAGCCGCAGACGCAATCCGCAAGGCGAATATCACTTCTCGCAAATACACCGACCTTCTACGACGGGAACTCGTCTTGACAGCTGGGCAACTAGTGCTCCTTGTCATGAAGAACCTGCACCTGCCCAGCCCGTCAAAACTACGGCCACGATTTTGTGGGCCATTCAAGATTATCAAGATGGTGACACCTGTCACCGCGAAGCTGTTGCTCCCTGACGACTGGCGCATTCATGACGCCTTCCACGTCAGCCTGCTTCGAAAGTTCGTGCCAGCCACGACCGACATCGCGCGGCAACAAGCTGCCCCAACTGCACGACATGTTCCGGAGCCGACTCTTGACCCTTCAAAGATTCTGGCA